CTCAGGGCGACTATGCGTCCTGTTAACCTTTGTACAACCTTGACATTATCAACAACTATGATGTTTTCGATTGCCTTGATTTTATCAGGGTTGATTTCGATTCCCTGATTCGATACCATAAAGCCGAGGAACTTGCCCGAACCAACCTCGAATGCGCATTTCTCCTGGTTAAGCTTCATGTTGTACTTTCTCCGTATGTCGAAGGTCTCCTGCAAATATTTCAAATGGTCCTCTGCTCACAAGGACTTAACTAGCATATCATCAATATAAACCTCCATTGATTTATCTATTTGTTCTTCGAACATTCGATTTACTAGGCGTTGATAAATAACACCAGCATTTTTTAGTCCGAACGACATTATATTATAGCAAGAAGTGCCGTATTTAGTGATGAATGAAGTCTTTTCCTGATCCTCCGGGTTCATTTGTATTTGATTGTACTCGGAGTAGGCATCAAGAAAACTAAGGATCTCGTGGCCGGTCGTGGCATCGATCATGCGATCGATATTCGACAAAGGAAAAGAATCTTTAGGGCATGCCTTGTTTAAATCCTTATAGTCTACGCACATTCTTAGTTTATTTCCTTTTTTAGGGACTACGACTACGTTTGCTAGTCATTCGGGATACTTTACCTCCTGAATGGACCATATTTTGAGAAGTTTGGTTACTTCGTCCTTGATGAAAGCATGTTTAACCTCGGACTGGGGTCCCTTTTTTTGCTTTACCGTTGACTTTGTTGCATCAGAATCGTTAGGGATTATGAAGTTTCGAGGTAACATATAATCATCATCCTCGAAAGTTTCCTGCTCCTCTGATTGGGCCGAGGCTGGCGACTGTGGTTGCTATTTGACTTCTTGTTTTCCCTTTGACTCCGATTTCTTTGTTGATGAAAGCACCGATACTGGTACTACTTCATCGATTCCAAACATTTCTTTAGCGAGGGTTGTTTACCGTACACCGTTTTGATTCCTTCTGATGTTGGGAACTTCAGGACCTGATGAAGCGTCGAGGATACTGCCCTCATGTTATGGATCCAAGCCCTTCTGAGCAATGCATTGTACCTCATGTCGCCTTCGATCACATGGAACTTTGTTTCTCGGATGGTCCCAGCTACATTTACTGGCAAAATGATTTCCCCTTTCGTGGTTTCACTTACCATGTTGAAGTCGTTAAGTACCCGAGCTGCGGGCACGATTTGATCTTGGGAGGCCAAGTTTATCTATGACCCTTGATATAATAATATTTTCTGATCTACCTGGATCAATCAACACACATTTAACTTGAATTTTATTTATAAGGATAAATATTACCAGTGCCATTGTGAGGTTGTTCGATCCCTCTTGCATCATCGTTGTTGAAAGACAAGGTTTCTTCTGGCAAGTAGTACCGAGTTCGCTTCTCCCTCGTGATTGTCACCTTGGTGCGTTTAAATATTGGTCCTTGAGGGATATCGACCCCACCAATGATCATGTGAATTACATGCTAAGCCTCTTCCTGCTCATTCTGTTTGTTTGAATCTCTATTTTTGAAGTGGTTCTTGGCTCGATCTCTTAGGAATTCTCGAATGTGACACTCGTTGAATAAATGAGCTACCTCTTCCCTCAGCTGTCTACAATCTTCGGTTTTGTGACCATGGGTACCATGGTATTTGGATATTTGATTCGGGTTCCTTTGAGCTGGGTCAGTCTGTAGGGGCCTGGGCCATCTAGTATTCTTGATCTGTCCAATGGCCGATACAATACCCGATGCATCGATGCTGAAGTTATATTCTGATAGTTGCGGCGCTTCTGTGGGCTCGACATGTTTATTGAAGCCACTTTTACTCATGAGCCCCCAGGAGCTCTGTCCTCGATCATTGCTTCGATCATTTCGAACGAGGTTATGTCCTGGGCCGTCGCTTCTACGATCTGCGATGTATGGTTGATACCGATCTCTGTTCGATCGGGGTTCTCTGTCGATGTCCGTTTGAATTCTGCCGACGGGCCTATTTGGTAAACAGAACTGGAAGGGATTCCCAATTGATCATCCTCGACCTTGCTCTTCGATTGGTATCGATTATATACATCGGCACAGGTTACAGCTGGATATTCAATTAAATTTTGCTTTAGTTATCGTGATGCTATCGAGCTTCGTTCGTTCAAACCTTGAGTTAAAGCTTGAACAACCCAATAATTTATACATGGGTGTAGGTCCATGAATTCCATATGGAACCGAGATACGAATTCCCTTAGCATTTCGTTGTCCTCTTGTCTCACTTTGAAGAGGTCCGACTTCCTAGTCGTTACATTTACTGCTCCGGCGTGTGCCTTTACGAACGAATCTGCAAGCATGGCGAAGGAATCGATGGAATTGGGCGGCAGATTGTGGTACCATATCATCGCTCATTTCGATAAAGTCTCTATAAACTTTTTCAACAAAAACAGATTCAATCTCATCGTCTTCTGAGTCATTCCCCTTCATTGCGCAGGTACAAGAAGTAACATGCTCATTAGGGTCAGTGGTCCCATTGTATTTTGGAAATTTTTGGCATGCAGAATTTTTTCGGGATGGGCTTCAGAGCGCACTTGGAGGGAAAGGTTTCTGCACGAACTTCTTTGAATCCAAACCCTTTAGAATCGGTGGCACCTCCGGTATTTGATCGACCCAAGAGTTGTATGTTTCTACCTTTTTATCATTTGCCTCGATTTTCTTTTCTCCTGATTCAATCCGTTTAGTGAGCTCCTCGAGCATCTTCATAATAGCGGGGTTAGTCCCCGATTCAATGGCGTTCGATTTCTCTGGTACAAGTTCGGCTCTATGAACAACTTCTTGTGATGTCTCGAGCTCAATTCTGCTTGGTGCTCGATTCTAATTTTGGAGTTGCACTATCGCAGCTTGTTGAGTCTGTAGCATTTCGAATATCATTCGAAGGCTAATTCCGCCCTCTTCGCCGCTTTGTGCATTCTGATCGGCTGCTCGGGCATCTCTGCGGACACTATTTCCAAGGTCGACGCCCAAATTCCCATTAATGGCAATATGGGAGCTGACATCGACTGGGTTTACGGCAGGTGGTCCGTCGAGTTTGACTAGAGGTACTCCATTTCCCGAGCCGACTATGTTTTCATTCTCGCCATGAAGACCAAGGTCGTTGTCTGTGTGAGTGGGTGCTACTTGAGAGTTTGACATGTTGATTCTTGAAATCAAAGACACTTATGAGAACAAGCGTAAAGCAGTGTGTGGTGTGGGAATTAATACCAGGCAATCACTATTATCCTTAGCCTCACGATGGGCGCCAAACTGTTTACCCTTAAAATTGGATAACAATTAAACTTATAATGTGGTTTTTAAGGACACACGATTTCACCTAATACCAATTAACGAATATTGAAATCAATGATAGAAATTAACAATGAGATAAAGCAAACCAGTGTTGAAACGTAATTCATCCCTCGAGCTTGAATGCCCTCACACTGGTCGGTGCCCGAATACTTAAGAAATAAGCAAGCTGACGAACAAGAATATAAGCTAGAAAGTATTGTATTACTTTGATATGCGTGAATGTAAAGTGATTACAAAATGATTAGAACCCTCTTTATATAATAGAGGAATCATATCTATGGTACAATTCTAATTGCGGAAGTAAATCCTATGGTTAGCCTAAATAACCGCCCTTGATTTGATCAGTTTGAGATTACCGCTATGCTCTTCGACCAGTCAAGGACATCTCACCTTTCCGTTATTATGCAGACATCGATCTTGCCCGTTGTCTGCCCCATTTGGCCTCGATCATTACTGGCATCGATCTCAACAGGCATCTCGAATCCCGAACTCGGTATCCAGTCTTCGTGCCTCAATGCCCAGTCTTCGATCCTTCACCCCGGTCCCGGTAAATCAGTAAAATCGGGTGGGCCCGATTTTAGCCGTATACAAAGATAATTGGTTGCTCTATCTATGAGTAATCATTTAATTCTTTGCGAAGAGAATTTTCAGTTGTTAAAAACTTCTATCGTGCTCCCGTCTTTTTCGCTACCATCTTCCGTGGATGCGCCCTTCACTTTCCCCTCAAAATTAGCCCAACAATTCTTATCAAAATTGACGCCAATTTAATTGGGCGAAGTGCACAAGTTTTTTAAGCCTACTATTTAAAATATATTCGCAATTTGTAATATATTTAAAAAATTATCCAATTCACCAAACTTCAGTATCATGAATTTTTGAGTTGCTAATTTTAGGACTTAGTGTCCTAAATTTTTGAGCTACTAATTTGAAATTCAAGATTAGGCGTTCAATATTTCTGAACTGCTAATTTAAAATTCAAGACATAAGATTCAAATTTCTGGACAGGACACGGTGTCCTGAAATTTGAACCTTGAGGTTTAAACTTTAGGACGTCGTGTCTTGAAGTTTAAGCGAATGGCTAATCTTTAAATATAATGTAAACTGTGGATATATTTTAAAGTTTAAACAACTTAATAGCCTGTTTGGCCAAGCTTTTTTTGGGCCAAAAGCACTATTGGCCAAATATTGAGGTGTTTGGCCAAGCTTTTGGAAAGAAAAAAATGCTTTTGAGGAGAAGCAGAAACAGTTTTTGAGAAACAGAAAAAAGTAGCTTATCTCCGAAAGTACTTTTCTGAGAAGTACTTTTGAGAAAAATACACTTAAAAATAGTTTTTAAAAGCTTGGCCAAACACTAATTACTGCTCAAAAGTGTTTTTCAAATTAATTAGCCAAACACAAACTACTTCTCACCAAAAGTACTTTTAAAAAAAATACTTCTCAAAATAAGTTGATTTTAGAAGCTTGGTCAAACAGGCTATAAAGGTAGGCTATAAAGTAGTTACCCGGTGTCATTTTCACAATTTAATTGATGAGGAAAATTCAATTTTGGAGAAAAGAAAAAAAAGGAAAATGAAAAAAGAACTCGAAGAGTCAACTCTAGTCTTCTTCAAAAGCCAATATAAAGAGTCCACAGGGTAGAAGTACCGACGCGATAGCAGAATTATTAAGGTATATTTTCTTCTTATCGCTCTCTTTTCCCGTTGATTTACTTTAATTGCACGTTTATCATTAATCGTAATCTTCAATAATGATCATTCAACTGTTCGCTCAATGTATATCAGTACTAAGAATCTAGGGTTTTATATGCTTATACGTAATTTGGGGTTTTCGTTTCGATCAGCTATTATATGGTTGTTTTGATTTGCTCGTAAGAGAGTTTGCTGTAACTTCATAATTGATTGATCCTATCTTATTCTGCGAAATTGGGGTTCGGGTTTTGTATACTCTAATTTTCGCAACTTGTCTGCTCCTTTTCGTGGAGTAGTCATATTTGTCTTTATTGCTGAATTATTTATGAATATATGTCAGGTAATTGTTAAGATTTAATAATTTATGCGCTGAGTTTCGCTAACAGAAGGCATTAAATGAAATTCTTTAAGAAAGAAATGGTCGTTTGGGCAATTAACTGTTATCCCTTCTTGTTTGATTTTTCCAAGACTGCTTTTTTCTTTTCTCCATCATTTGTTATTCTGCTAGCATATATTTTTCATTTTAAGTCCTGATTTAAAGAAAGGTTTACGGCTATAATCCTATTATACATAGTTTTCTCCATCTTTTATTGTTATCTTGGCTGAGTTGTTTGGAGTTGGTAGGATTAAGAATGTATTCTACAACTTTGGTTTAGAAACCCAGCAGGAAGAGTTGGAGGCATTGTGGTTATCATTAGTGATAGGAGATTGGGAAAAACTAAAAGAAGACTGATGTTGCATTGTCCTAACCTTTCAGTGACTAAACTGTAATTCCTGCTTTTTTTTTCTGGATGCTTCTTATGACTTTGTGGTGAAATTTGATAATTCTTTAGTATTTTTGTCCCCCCTGTAGTACTGTGTAGGTTTTGTCTTAGCATTTGCTGTACCAGAAAACGTATGCTTCTATGGTATAAGTTTCTGCATCTGAATAGGAAACAATTTTACTGCCTGAGATAGGGTCTGTTCCAGGTAAAACTAAACAAGAAGAAACATGTAAACTGGTTGTTGTATCTAGAAAAAGAACATGTTAAAGATTCTTTGTGGGAGATTTCATTTGCTTAATAGAAAAATAAGAGCACAACTGTAAATCTCCCAAAAAGAATCTTTAACATGTTTTTTTTAATTCTTATAAAAAAAGGAACATGTTAAAGATTCTTTGTGGGAGATTTCATTTGCTTAATAGAAAAATAAGAGCACAACTGTAAATCTCCCAAAAAGAATCTTTAACATGTTTTTTTTAATTCTTATAAAAAAAGGAACATGTTAAAGATTCTTTGTGGGAGATTTCATTTGCTTAATAGAAAAATGAAACTAGTAGTTGCAAACTTTCTGAAGTGATTATTCGAATAATGTGTTCTATCATTAATTTGAGTATTGCTGTTTGACAGTGGAGCGTGCAATAATGGATCGTGGAAAAAGGCCAGGCCGGTCGCTTGCTGCACGGAATAATCAGATTTATATGGATCTTAAGGACATTGTCAGGGAACATGCCCTTCCCTTCCTGCCTGCCAAATCACTTTTCAGATTCACCACTGTTTGTAGGGACTGGAGACTCCAGATTTCCTCTCCATTTTTCGCCCACAATCAGTCACTTTCCTGTCGCAGTACATCAGGCCTCTTTCTCCAGACTCCTGGTGGTTCTCCTTCTCTCTTACCCATCGGCGCAAACTTTTGTGGGGTTCCAGATCCATTCCTTAGGTTTTTGCCTGAGCCTGTCGACATCAGGTCCTCCTCTAATGGACTGCTTTGCTGCCAAGGTCATGGAGCTGACAAGGCCTATTACATATGTAATCCCGTTACTCAGCAGTGGAAGAAACTTCCAAAATCAAATGCTAATCATGGATCAGATCCAGCAGTTGTGCTCTTATTTGATCCATCGTTGCTCAACTTTGTCGTAGAGTACAAAATTATCTGTGCATTTCCATCCACAGATTTTGGTGAGGCAACTGAGTTTGAAATATATTCCTCCAAAGAGGGTTCCTGGGAAATTGCCGGTGAGATCTGTTTTGGAGCTAGGAGGGTTATACCAAAATCGGGGGTTCATGTTAATGGTGTTGTTTACTGGATGACAACTGGTAGTATTCTTGCTTTTGATCTAACCAAAGAGAGGTCACAGCTCCTTCAAGACTATGTCGCTCGTGGGATTTTGGGGGCTTTTAGTGGAAAGCTCTGTAAGGCTAATGTCTCTGGTAATTCAATCATTGTATACGTTTTGGCTAATGCCCATTCAAATACGATGCAAATGGGAAGCAATACCAGAATGTGGTCAGAGAAACAGCGGATTGTTCTTGACAGTAAAATTGTTGGGGATGTAGCAAGGGACTACTCGGTCTTACATGTTGACGGTGATATAATGGTGGTTCATAGCAGGGAAAGAGTGTATTCATATGACTTCAAGTCCCGTGCAACAGAAGTTATGAGCAATGTATCCGACATTTATAATATGCGATGCTTGCCCTATGTGAACAACCTAGTCTCTCTCTAATCTGCCTTGGCTGCTATAGAAGGTTCTCTTTGTTTGGAGCTGCAACCAGCCTATTGGGGAACACAAGCTGTCTTTTCAGAAGAATGCTTGTCCTGAGGGAATAATATTTTTGATGTTGTGTTGCAGTCTCTTATATACAGCATTGGCCCTTCTCTATTTATTAGACTAGTTTTCTTATTAGTAACTTATTAGAATTACAGTTTGTGGACTATTATCTTAGTGGAAGATCTTGTTCGAACTCCGTGACTACTACTTTCTTGTCTCTGCAAACTTTTATGCTCTCTAACTCCCAAGTGTTTTGTGCAGTTTAAACATATTCATGTTGTAGAATTACAGCTTGTGGAGTAGTGGATTGAGATAGGTGTTCGTCCTTCCGGTTACAACTTACTTGTAAAGGTAATGGACATAATTAATGGCAAGGCCTAAAATGACTTTCTACACGTATAATTATCGTTACACAATCATTTACCGTGCAAAACACACTGTCACACCCATATTCTTATTCCCTTTTTACTTACGATTTTACGAAGGACCAATTATTTTTCCAACTCACGTAATTGTGGCACCATCAAAGAGAGAACAAGTAGAAGAAAAATGAAAACGGCCCTCTATCGAGGAAACACAAAAAGAAATATAAGCAACTCGTAAGGTAAAAGTTGAAGGATCCATGTGTACGTTTCATGATTTTATAAATACATCTCACGTAATCTGATTTTTTTTTTTTGTCTTAATTAACCCTTCCCCAAAATATGTTTCTCAAATTTTAAATTGGCCTTCCTACGTATTCCTTTATATAGTTTATATTAATGTGACCCTATACTTTTCCTGTCACTAGTTTAGGTTGCATAAACTAGGGGTGTACAAAGAAAATCGATAAACCGCATAAAATCGATAATTCGAATCAAACCGAAAATAAAACGACGTGGTTTGATTTGGTTTGGTATTGGGCAAAATAACCCTGACCATAATTGGTTTGGTTTTAACTAAAAAAAGTCAAATCGAAACTAAACCAACCCGACATTACATTTATATATTTTTAAAAAATATTTTATACATATAAATATTTATTGTAATGTAATTTATAAATATTTCTTAAACTTTTTCACAATTTTATCTTTTACTGTGTTATTTCGAACTTGGACTTAACATTGAGCAAAATTCATTTATAGCCACTCGGACCAAACTTATAACACCCGGCAGGTAAAAATTGCACGAGGCGCCCTATTTAGTCGCCCCCATTTAACCTATACCCATTTTTTAAAAAAGTTTTAACTTGTACCCACTTTTTAAACAACTTCAGCCCCCTTTCTCCTCCCCCTTCTCTTCTTCTTCTTCTTCTTCTTCTTCTTCTTCTTTCTTCTGCTGCTGTTGGTGCTGCTATGAAACTTCAGTTCATGGGATGATTGCCATAAGTATGTTTATCAGATTATTTAAAAATAAATTATAAATAATTATGTAAGTTAGTAGATAATAATTTGTGAATATTTTCACGTAATTCTGTTCTTTTCACATTTATTATTTCCAAAATTTATGATTTAGATACGGTTGGCAATCTGATTATTTTATAGTAGTAATACACTATGAAAGAATAACGTGATTATTTATCTAGTATGTTAGAAAACTTTTTCAAAAACTTTAGCTTATATAGTGCTGAAGTTTTTACAAATGAACTAAATAACTTCAGCATCTTCTGCTGAAGTTTTTGAAAAAGCTTATCCAGGACAAAAAAACTTCAGCTTATTTAGTGCTGAAGTTTTTATAAATGAACTAAATAATTTCAACATCTTCTGCTGAAGTTTTTGAAAAAGCTTAATGACAAAACTAATGAATCCAGGACAAAAAAAATTTCAGCTTATTTAGTGCAATTGCGAACAAAAACTTCAGCTACTATGCTTAAGTTCAGCAATTACAAACAAAAATTTCAGCAAATAGAGAACAAAATTTCAGCTACTATGCTTAAATTCAGCAATTACAAACAAAAATTTCAGCACACTTGCTACTTCAGGCCCGTCTACTAGAATGTTGAAGTTTTGCGTGATTGCCTTTGCTACTTCAGCCCCGTATGCTGAAGTTACGCGAAAAAGTGGGTACGCTTGCAATTTTTTTTGCAAAGCGAACACAATTTAAAACGTGACCCAAAAAGCGAATATAGATACAAATGCTCCTGTCGCCACAAAATGGCCACATACAAGTCATAGCCTAAAAACAATGGAATTTATCTATTTTGATAACTTTTCCGCTCACCGCAGGTAACCTTTCTCTGGAATTCCTATAATGAAATTTGCCTTATGGTTGAGGTTAGCATCTAACTTTGTTTCTTCTGTGTATGGATTAGCACAATCCACTTAAATGGTTTTTGGCCATTGTTTAACTCTAAAATGCAAAATCATTTTTTGCACAACGTTTTTCATGATTATTCTTTCTTGGATGTAACTTGAATTTCACAGAAATGCCACAACCACACAATGCAATAACTATTAACTGCATGCAAAAGCAGCAATATGAAGGCAAATAGTTTTATTTCCTTGTTAAATTCCATTATGCGCTTCCCTTTTTCTCTTTTCTCTTTTACTTTAGTCCTTACACCCCAAAAAAGAAGAAGTTGGAGAGCAAAATTGGAAAGAAAGCTTATCGATGATTGTTCTAATTGGAATTATCTTTTTGAATTCTAGAAGTTTTATGATTGCTTTTTCTGAGATAATTATGCATAACGTTGAAATATATACTAAATAGACTGTCACTATACAATTTATATACAATAAACTGTCACTATACAATTTATATACAATAGATTGTCACTATACAAAATATATACAAAATAGATTGTCACTATATAATAGACTGTCACTATACAAAAAAATATATAAAATAGACTGTTACTATACAATTTATATACAATAGATTGTCACTATACAAAATATATACAAAATAGATTGTCACTATATAATAGACTGTCACTATACAAAAAAATATATAAAATAGACTGTTACTATACAATTTATATACAATAGGCTGTCACCATACAAAATATATACAAAAAGACAATCACTAAACAAAAAATATACAAAATAGACTATCACTATACAACAAATATATAAAATAGACCGTCACTATACAATATATGGATAATGACATTTCGAGCTATTAGATGTAATATGTTTCGGCCGGAAGGGCATTTCGTGTCAATGGGGAAAAACATAGGCTATTAAAAATTTGAGAAATTTTCATAAAGCACTATCTTTTAGTGGTAATTAGCTATCAATAGATACCATTTGCTATATTACGGATTGTAGATACGTTTTCTGTTGTTATAAGATGTATTAGATGTATTTAAGCTACTGTATTCATGAATACAATAGCAAAAATAGGCGTGAATCAGGGAAATCCAGCTAATCAGTTGTTGTATTCGAGTGTATTCGACTGTATTCATGACGTGAAACATGAGATTACAGCTGGACAGATTATTGTATTCGACTGTATTCACGGCGTAAAACAGGGGATTACACTGTTTTTAAACGGAAAGTGAATCAATTAACATAATAGACTCCTAATATAACTCAACAAACTCAATTATAACACACAAAATTTGTATTTCCAGTTATAAAAAAGGTTCTCAATCGAAAAATACCCCAAAAATATAGCAATCTTCAGAGAAATTATATAATACATTTGAATACATAAATTTTACTCCCTCCATTCCAATTTATGTGAATCTGTTTGACTGGACACGGAGTTTAAGAAAAAAATGAAGATTTTTGAAATTTGTGGTCCCAAACAAGCCAAAAAGGGCCCAGAGTATTTGTGTAGTTATAAAAACTTCTCATTAAGGTTAGAATTGTAAGTTTAAGCTAAATTAATACCAAATTTAGAAAGGAGTCATTCTTTTTGGAACAGATCAAAAGAGAAATAGGTTCACATAAACTGGAACAGAGGGAGTATTAATTAAAAAAACATATGAATACATTCATAGCATATAGCGAGACAATGAATACAATGAAATACATAGAATACATCGGGATACATTGAAATATAATGGAAAAAAGAGAATGAATACAATGAAATACGTGGAATACAACGAGATATATTGAATTACAATGAAAAAAAGACAATCAATACAATGAAATACAACGTGATACGTTGAAAAAACATTGAAATATATTAACAGAAAATCAAGTTGCTCAGCCCCAAACTCCGTCGTCTTTGTTCAAGAACAAACCCTAATTTCCAGCGAATCCGTTGTCGAGCAAAAACCCTGAATCTCACTGTTCCCACGCATCCTGTACAGTAACCGAGCAAAAATCATGGCAAGACAATAATGAGTTCTGGTGACAGAATAAGGACTCTGTTAAAGCTTGAATCTTATATTGAAGATGACGGAAGTTGAGAAAGTTTCGTGGGTTTGCTGTGTTGTGCGTGCCGATCGGAGGCTTCATCTCCTTTGGATTCAATTTCGGTTGCAGAAATTACTAACACTGCTTTTGAGCCGTCGTCTATGATGGTCAAGTGCGACCCACGTCATGGGAAGTACGTGGCATGTTGTTTGATGTACAGAGGTGATGTTGTGCCTAAGGATGTGAATGCTGCTGTTGCCACAATTAAGACAAAGAGAAAGTCAGAGATGTCTTCGTGGTATACCAGGCAAAATCACCGTTTGTGACTAATGGTAGGTGATGTGGGTGAGAGGAATTTTGAGATTGAGTATCGTGTTTTCAGGGAATGGGGGAAGAGAATGACATGTATCAAAATAGAGAGAGAAAGAAAATAGTGTAACCGAATGGCGTATTTAGTGGTTTAGGGGTAGGAGGTAACCAAAATTAGATATTTTGCTATAAACATTAAAAGGTTCTATAGAATATAATTTTTTTAAATGGTATTTATTTAAAATAAATAAGGTGTTAACCTTTGCTATAGGAGGTAAAAATTCCTTAAAATTTTGAGGGGCTATAGAGGGTCATTTTCTCCTTAACATTCTTGAATGCTCCAATAAGTTTTATAGCCCATAAATGTAGTAACTCAAATAAAGTTTAAATCAATACTAGTGCTAACAAAATAACTTTAATTCAACACTAGAACAAATGACAATAGTGTTGGATATCTATTTTTACTTTTTAGTTTTGCATTAATTTATAATGAAAATGCATAACTTAATTTATCTTTAATACTTAGTCATGTAATTAATAGTAGTTATTAGATGTACTTAATTTAGCATGACTTATATAGTATTTTTGGATTATATTCATTTTTATTATGGCTTATTAATTA